TTTTCTTAAGAGAAAATCTATGATACTGGAAAGACATGGTAATAGAAGAGTTTTGACCAATTAAAACCCATCCGTGAATTTTGATAAATACAATCTGATTGATTAATCTGCTTATGATATCGGTTGATTAGTCACAAGTTTATCGGATATGATATATTTCAGGTATCATAATCGAATCTTGGTGCTATAAAATAGATTAAGGTGATCCAAGCCCATTATTAATTCGGACAATCGGGTTGACCCGATTAGGCCCTAAAACTTCATTTAAGTTGTTTATATGTTAATAAACACAAGTGCTTTTAACCATAATTATATTATATACTGTTTATAAAATTTACTTTTTAAATATAAAATATGTCAAAAATTACAAGAAATCAGAAGACTTTTATGTTATTTACTATGTAATTAATTTATAACAGTAAGAATTGGTACCGACCCAATTATTAATGCTAACACAAAACACAGAACCAGAACCAACATAATTTATCCAGTTGGTTTGGTCTGTTGGGTAGACCTAATTCCATTGACAGCTCCAACAATGATGTGAGATTAGTTATTTAGTGTTTTGTCAATTTTCTAATTGTTTCTTCATAGAATAGATGTACTATTTTTCAGACAAATATTTCAGCTACTATTTCTCCCCCTTTTATAGAAAAAAAATTTGTTTTCTTCCATTTTAGCTGTTTTGATGTTAACGACAAGGAAAACAAAGTTTTTTTTTTTTTTTTAATTGTAGAAAAGGTGAAAACATTGCTAAAATATTTCATCAATTTTACATTGAGACAAATGAACCCTTGAGAGTAGGTGTATGCTCTTAGGGGTGTCAACAGTATTGGAAAATCCAATTTCGAATTCGAAATTCGACATTAATCGAATCAAATTCGGATAATTCAAATATCTAATCGATTAAATTTGGATATGACCTGATTCGATTCGATAAATATCTGAATTTGACCGATTAGTTAATTTATAATATATATATATATAATATTTAAATGTTTTATATAGTTTATATATATAATTAAATTATATAAATAATTTATATATTTATATACTTTATATAGATAAAATATTCAGAAAAGTATGGACAGACCCAATGCAGATTTCTGAATTCCATTACAGACCTATAAACATTCAAAATGTCAAAAACCCCCATTCTTTAATAATAATAATAATAATAATAATAATAATAATAATAATAATAATAATAATAATAATAATAATAATAATAATTGTTATCGTAATTTAAAATTTTCACATGCAATGCACATGCACATTTACTACAAGCATTTAAGTTTATTTTTAATCATATTGTTACTTTTGTTAATTTTCATTTTCTATATTAACTATGATGAGTCCGGATCTCATACCCACAAAAACTCTATCCATGTTTACACACATAATATCGCAACCACACATGGAGAACATCTCATACTCCTATATAGTATTATGCACGAAATGTTCCTAATGCATAGGGGTAGTGTGTTGTGGGTAGATGTGGGTAAGATTCTGGAGTCAACTATGATATATTTAAAATTCAAATAATTAATATGAAAAAAAATTCTCACATACAATGCATGTGCTTAATTACTAGTCATTCAATGGTTGCGAATGGATTGGACCAGATATTGGTAGATCCAAATTTGATTTATTTATATTTAAATTTAAATTAAATTTTATCCATTGGATTTATGTTGGATTTGTATCAAATTTGGATTGTAGTTGGATATTGATAGTAATAAATAAATTAAACTAAAAATGATCAAAATGTTATATATTATTAATATAAAATAAATTAAAAATGATTTTATTCTTTTATTTTATGAAGAAAATTAATTGAAAATTATTTATATCAAAATAAACCTATGAAATTTAGTAAAAACACAACATCAAATCAATTTTACTAATATATATACAATATAGATTTTACGTACATATGAATCATATTATATCGGATCAGATTGGGATGGATCCATTTTCGGTCCAGTTATGAATAGATGAAATTCAGATCTCCCTTAATGGGATCATATTCAAAGTTGAATTCGGACAATTGGATACCGTTTGAATCCCTACAGATAGATGTAAATGGAGTTGCTCAATAAATGTTTTTGAATATTGGGCCGCCTGTTGATTGTTGAAAACAAGCATGTTAATGGACCGGATTTGGTTCAATCCAATCTGAATCCTATAGCGGTCCAATCCAACATGTTCAAATCCAATCCAATGCAAGGTGGGAATTAATTCAAGTGGCCATGATCCAGATCATTTATTGATTGGTTGGTCTCTCTCTCTCCATACAGTTTTTTTTTTCCATCAGGAAATATACTCCACATTGCAATAATAAAAGGTAATAATGGACTGTTATTGGATTAATCCAAATTGATCCGTTGGAATCCAATCCAATTAGCTTAATGGACATCCAATTCCAATTTAATTGAATTGGACATCTAAATTGGAGTAGAGCTAGGGATGCAATTTGGGCAGGTTGAGCTGGGTTTATGGTCAATCCAAACACAATCCTATAAATTGGGCCCAAAACCAAAGTCTGAATCAAATTTGAGGTCAAGATCGAACTGAAATTTGACATAATCAAATTGGGTTCAGGCCTAGGATGGGCTAGGGTTTGTCAATCAGGATCTAAGTGGACCACCTATATTAGTCCTAATGTATTGAAAAGTTACACTAAACCTATTTTTTAGCATCAATAATTTTAACCATTAAGTAGGAATCTTGAGTGTTTTGGTTTATATGATGCATGATGTATGTGTGTAGTCGGTTCAAGCTTGGGTTGGTCTAAGAGTGGGCCAGGCTCATGCTACCACTGGGTTGGCCTGGGCCCAACTAGAAAAAAAAAAGCCTGGCGTTCTAAGCCCAGGATTAGCCTAAGGACTGAAAATCCAAATCATGGATTGGGTTGGTTTGGGCTCAGATTGGGCCTGCCCAAGTTGTACCTCTAATTGGAGCAGCATCCAATCCATTGACAGCCCTAGTTGAAAGTATGGCTATTGACATTGGACAAAGCTTCTATGAAGATAGATAACAAAGAATTTAAGTTTGTGCATATTTGCAGAGAAAGCAATAAGGCAGATAGCCTTTAAATCAATATGGGCCACACTTTGAAGAAACCACTTTTAGACAACAGTTCATAAGCCTGTGAATTATTGAGGAAGCTTAGGGTTGCTCTCCTTTTGAGTTGTTTAGTGTCTCCCACCGAAGGAAGAAGAAGAAGAATCTACCCTTATACAATCCCGCTCAACTAATATATAAGGCTATGTTTGGTTTGAAGGAAAAAGTAGGGAAAGGTAAGGAAATCTTTACAAATCTTGTATAAGTTTCCTTACCTTTTCCTTCAAACCAAACATAGCCTAAGGGTTTGACTATGATACCAAAAAGACATGATATCTAAAAAATTCACAGTCAATAACTGACATCATAAGAGAGAGATGACCAATTAGGTGGTATTAATCAAAATTCAGGGGGTGTTTTGATTGGTTAAAGCTCTTCGGATACCATATGTTTACGTTATCATAAATTTTCCCTACGTATAAACTTACAAAATTAACATATTTATACTAAATGGATGCTTGCCTTGGATTAAGTCTTGTCGTTTAAAGTTATTTTCTCCATGGTTGGAATAATTAATTCAGAAAACTGAGAGAACAGATATGGAGAGAAATGGGATGCATTAAGGCAGTAACCTACCTTGGCCCACCAACATTGGAGCAGGTTTGAACCGGGTTAGTTGGCTTTCTGTTGCAGGATTGCAGGATTGTAGCACACAAGAATCCGGTTCAAGACCTTCCGTACAAAAACTCCATGGGTAGATGAATTATGCTTTAAGTACTTGTGCATTGTTTATATCTATGCATTGTATATGATCCTCTTTTAGCATTTCGAATTGCATTCAGTGGGGCGTTTATTATCAACCCATATGAGGGTGCAAATCCAGGCCAAACCCCTTCATTTATTGAACCCAAACCGGCCCAAGTTGCACCCCTAAATCCATAGGCTTAACATTTAGACCTGGCAAAAAATCAATCCAACCTGCCAATCGAACCTGACCCGAAAAACGGGTTAGGGTCCCCTATCTAATAACCTGAACCAGAAGGCAACCTGACACGTAATCTTTTCAGGTCAGGTCACAGATCACTGCTGTGTTGCCTCTTTTCAAATCGACATTGATCTGGATGGTTGAACTGTTGATCCATTTGACCCATGGGTCAACCCTAATTTGAGTATTTAGAGTTACGGTCTAACCATTGGCAACCCAACCCGAAGCTTTCTTCTGTCTGATGAATTTCTTATCTTAATTTCTCTAAGATGATCAGTTCTAAACACATTTTCAGTACACAAAATGTACCTTCAGCTGCAAATATTGCATCATTAGCAATTTAGGCTCAGTTTGGAATGAGTATAAAACTACAAATACAAATATGTCCCGTGCAAATACATACAAAATACAAGGGCTTACACTATACATTTTTGTATTTGTACTCTTTCCAAACTGAGCCTTAATGTTGCACCCTGTCAAAGGATACAACATTACAAAATTAATTTTGTAAACAGAGAGCAACAATATAGAGTTCATGTTGTAACATTTAGGCTATGTTTGGTTTGAAGGAAAAGGTAGGGAAAGGAAGGGAAAGGTAGCGAAACCCATACAAGGTTTGTAAAAGTTTACATACCTTTCCTTTCCCTACTTTTCCCTTCAAACCAAACACAGCCTTAGAGTTTCTGGTGTATTTCGACCGGATGTGCTGTCAGCAAAAAGTGTATTAACAACCTAACAGCACTTGCATGTTACATTATGTTCATTTGTGCTCTTAGGGTGTTTATACGATTTTTATTTTTTTTCTTTCATGAAATCCTATCACATAATGATAGACCTTTGCCATCCCTAAAGAAATGAAAGCATATAAGAGTCTTGAATGGTAATAAAAATCCACCTGATCTTAATGTCTTTGTAACTATTACCTTTATTAGAAAACACCCAAATACTACTTATAATGAAAAAAAAAGGCTGAAATAATATTACTGCAGTCATAGAATTAATGTATGAATCATTCCATTGATAAAATGAACAAGAGATCAAAACCCCAAAAGATATTCCACCCTGAAAAAACCATTTAGACAAGAAAAAAAATAATTGAAAAAAAGTTATTGATCTATGTTCAATTAAATTTAATTATCATCCCCGGCCATAACCATTCTCCTAAGTGGACTAGGACCCAACTTCTTCCTTCTCATGGAACTCCTCCTCCTTATAACTTCCATTTCATTCCTTCTCCTAATTTGCATCATTGCTTCCTCTTCCACAACAAATCTTCTCATTAGAACATCATCAGTTAATGATTTCCCCCGGAAAATCCTCCTGCCTTCTGTACTAATTCTATGACTAGTAAATGTTTCCGGAGGTGCCATGACCAATGGTTTTGATCTTGGATAACTGTTGCTCCTTCTTGGTGGAAGATCGGCTCGAAAAACCTCTGTGTAAGATGACATCGGTGCGCAGAGACACACCCGAGTGAACGAAATTGCGAGCTTTAGAGAAGAACTCTTCCTTAGCTTTGATCTGTTTGAATTGGTAGAAGAAATCTGAGTGGGTTTCTCTATGGATTTCCATAAGTTCACTGCCTCCATTGCTCTCTGATACCAGGGCTTCCTATAGCACAAGAAAGAATGTCAAGCATGAGTATGAATAACTTGGCTTAATTATATATGATCTTATCCAAGCCAAGGATCATGAGCTATATGCCTGAAAATATTCTGTGTGTCTGCAAATTATGATAAATAATGTGGAAGGTCAAAGTTACATAAATCTAATATGGAAGGCACAATGTATAAGTTGGTAAAAGAAAGACTGACTCAACAAGAAAGTGAAATTGTTCATACTGGTTGATCAGTTCATATTGATGCATTATATATCAGTCATGCATAACAGTGGGTTTTATTCTTTGACATTCTATGTGCTTACCCAATAAAAAATGAAAGAGAGAGAGAGAGAGAGAGATTTCTCATACCTTGTGTTTGAGTTCTTTGAATCTGGCATGAACAAGCAGAAAATTGGAAGTATGTGAAAGCTGGAAAATGGGAGGGAGGAAGTTCATCTGTAGAGAGAGGGACGATTCTTTTGCTTGAATTTGTGTAAGATTTGATGAGATGAAGGTGCTTCTTTTCCTTTTCCTTTTCTTTAATACGGCTTCCTTTTGCTTTGGCAGGCAGGATGCAGAGAGAGAGAGAGGGAGAGAGAGAGAGACTCCACATTGAAAATTGAATTTGAATGAGAAAGCAAAACTGTTGCTTTTTGTGCTGTTACAAAAGTACCCTCATCCAGTAGACTTTTTTTTTTCTTTTTTGTTGATAAAGAATACACTACTTCTTAATATAATAAACATTCTACTGTCTTGTAATTATGAACCTTTATGAGCATGAACATGAAATGAAGGACTGGATCAACAACTTCAGCTTATCCTTGTAACAACTTCTGTAAGCCAAAGCATAGGTAAACTACAACTGGTGCAATTTTGTTTGAAAGTTACACCCTTGTTTGAAAGTTACAGTTACTAATCCTCAGACATTAGTTAGTCTATATATCTTTCTAGAATTCACCTACTTGAGACCTCGGATCATGATCTGTCTTTTGTAACTGATGCAATTTTGTTTCAAGTCATAATTCAGTAAGGGTTTCAACTGGTGCAATTTTGTTATATATATATATATATAACAAGCTCAAGTCATGTTAGGTGGAGCAATCCAATGGTGTGTGTAGTGGAGAAGCCCTTTTGAATTAATCTGCTTTTGTTTCTATCAAACCCTATTTAACACACAAACCAAGGCATAATTTAAATTACTTTTTCTTCTTTGGTTCATAATTTATGGCCCAGAAATCATCAGTCATCAATTGATGGTCAATAAAGCAATATTGTGACTTATAATAGTTTCAGAGAGAGAAATTCTTCAAAGATATTACTTCAAAGGGGATAATGATGTGTCAATGTCATTTACCAATTAAGTCAAAATCTCTTTATTTTACCGGGGGGGGGGGTATAAAAGATGGTGAAAGGCATGTTGTGAGTATATTTATCCTTGTATGCACATGTTTGTGTATGGATGGCATCATGGTTCCTCCGTGGGTGGTGTAATGTCAACAAGCTCAAAAGCAGGTGGAAGCATAAAAAACCATGATGGTTAGAGATGGGGATTAGAGGACTGCATAAATTAATGAGAATTAGAACCCTAAGGCTGTGTTTGGTTTGATAGAAAAAGTACAGAAAGGAAGGGAAAAAGTAGAAAAATCTATACTAGGTTTGTTAAGGTTTCTCTGACTTTCCCTTCCTTTCCCTACCTTTTCCTCCAAATCAAACATAGCCTAAGGGGTCTGTCACAAGAAACTTGAAAAATAGCTTATTGGTATGACCTGATTCTTGATTTGTATTTGGGCTAAAATAATGGATACTGTCTTTTTTGTTTGTACAGAGAGTTACACTTGACAGTTTGAAAAATAAATGATTTCTTGCAATTTGAAAAGAAAAATTATGAAAATAGAACAGCCCCTTATGTGGAGTAAGGTTTTGTTTGGTACAGTTGCTGTTTCTAAAGTGTTTTGGATTGATGAATATAAATTGGCATACAAATATTATTTGAGGCAATTTATAATTAAACAAATATACCTTAAAAATGCATGTGTGGGAATGATCACTGAAGTTTTTAGTTGAAACCTCAAATTGATTTTTCTTGCTCTAAGGGGTTGAAGCCTAACCATTCTAGGCGCTTAAGGGGCTCTCATATAGTGCCAAACACAATCTATATCTAATTATCATCTACAGAAAGAAATAAGAGGCAGTTTAACAGTTGTTTTTGATGGATGATTTTGTAAAACTATTGATTATCTTTTTGCCCTTCAGGCTTAGTTTGGAAGGAGTATAAGTGCAAATTGTATTATTTTTTATGTATCTGTACTGTACATATTTGTAGTTGTACTCTTTTCAAATTTAGCCTTGACTTTGGTTTGGAAAGAATACAAATACAAATATATATGGTACAAATACAAGGTTTAACAATACAAAATAATACAAATTAAAATACAAGGTTTTGCATGCTTTGTACATATTGGTTTTTGTACTCTTCTCAAACTCAGCCTTAAGAAAATAGTACATTGAATATTACCTTATTTATCTGTATGGTAATTAATTCTTTTTCAAAAGTTTTTTTTTATTATAGTCTTACCCTTAATTTGGAGCAATTTCCTTTGTACTGGTGCAAAAGTATGGAAGTGCAAATAATAAAAATCAAGTTTTGTTTGTTTGTAGTGTAAATGAGGTCAAATAAAACTTGAGGCAAAAGTTAACCAGAATTTAAACTCTTCTAATTTACATTCCATCTATTTGTATTAGAGCAAATGAAATTGCTCTGCAAACAAGCGAAGCGTAAAGTCAATATCATATATTTAATACTAGGTTAAAATACAAAAGCCTCCCCTGAAGTTTCTGACAATCATAAAAACCTCCCATATAGTTTCATTTTAATAAATACCTTCATTGAACTTTTCAGAAACTTGACAAAAACCTCCATTTTATCACCGTCCCAAACGAAAAACGTTAGACTGATACACCAGTTTTTTCCAAATATCCATTCTACCCTTTTATAAATTATTTTATATACAAAATTACTGAAATAATCCCATTTTAACTCAACAAAAATACATGTTTCAGTAATTTTGTATGTAAAATTAATGAGATGATCGTTAAATGAGGTTTTTGTTGAGTCAAAATGGGATTATTACAATAATTTTGTATGTAAAACAATTTATAAAAGGGTAGAATGGGTATTTGGAAAAAAACTGATGCATCAGTCTAACGTTTTCCGTCTGGGATGATGACAAAAGGGAGGTTTTTGTTGAGTTTCTCAAAAGTTCAGGGAAAGTATTTGTTAAAATGAAACTATAAGAGAGGTTTTTATGATTGTCAGAAACTTTAGGGGAGGTTTTTGTATTCTACCCTTAATACTATTATTTATAATATTCCATATATAGATTCTCAATTCCGGTACCCACCTATTTTTCATTATCCATGACTATAATGTCGTGTTTAAACTTTCAAACATACAATTAAGGATTATGAAGCCCTCCATGCAGGTTGAGGGTTCTAGTATTTAGAAAAATAAAATAAAATTTGCGAAAGAAAATACATTTTTCTTGTGTTTAAACAAATAAAAATCAGAAGATAAGCATTAAGGTTGTATTTAGTATCATTGCTGTTTCCACCTGATATATTTTGGACTAATCAAGACAAATTAGTTTGAAATCTGTGTTTTGTCACATTGCATATGACAGTTACAATGCATGTAGAGTAATAATTGATGTTTATGGTTAAAGGTTTAAAGTATTGCTACGTATCGGTAAGTATCGTGTGTATCGTATCGGTGTCAAACCAGCCACTTCAATTTATAAGGCTGACAATTGATGCTTATCGATAAAGATTTAAAGTATCATTACGTATCTCATTGTATTGTGTATCGTATCAGTGTCAAAGCTCATTGAATCACAAAATATTGTATCAGTGTCAAACTCATTTTAAAATAATAAACTGGAAATACATACATAAAAAAAAGAATATTGACCGATAGGTATGCACTACCCAATTTTTTGGTATTGTGCGTATCAATATTTTGAACCTTACATTATATTAATAAACTCAAAACAATGCAGGTAGAAACAGCAAATGATTAAGAAAAAAAAAAAAAAAACCTTAGGCTGTGTTTGGTTGCAATGCACTTTTATTTATACTAGTGCAAATATATGGAAGTACAAATAAAAAGAATGCAAATTTTGGTTCAATTTTGTTTTAGGTTTTACTTTATTCTGCTTCAAATCTTATTTTACTTCATGTGGAGGTCATAATGTCCTCCTCTTTTTCATCTGGAATTGAGGCTAATATCAGTACTAGACTAGCATCTGGGGCTAGGAAAGGGTGGGCCGTGGGCCTGGGGCCTGGGGCCAGGGTTTTATTTATGCCATGCCCCACCAAATGCCTAGCCAGGCTGGATAAGGCATGTCAAGGCCCCAGTACAGTCCGACACATTCAGTAGTCTTATAATTAACATGCACAATACTTGTGTGAATAACATATGATCACGGCCCAGAGTCTGCAGGGCTGTGACCAGATTTAGGGCTGGAGTGGGCCATTACTTCTGGCCCGCAGGCTGAAGGAATTGGACCAGCCCAATATTTCATACACTGCATAATAGTCTGGTCCATTTCTACCCGTCCAAACCCGATCTGATTATTGAACATCGAAGCCCGAATCCAATCAGATTTAGACATCGGATCTGATTCGAGTTTATTGTATATTTGTTAATAAAAATTAAAAGGATCAACTACTCTCTAGCTTATATATGTATGTATAATAAAATTATATAAATAAAAAAATATTAAAATTCATTATTGTAAGTATTATGAAATATAACAGAAAATCAAATCTTAATTATAAAATCTGAATCTGATCCAATTATGTAAATGGATCATTTGAATCTGAAATAAATCTTAGTATGAGTTTATCTTAGACCACCAGTCCCGAACCCCCTAATAAAACATGTAGCTTGGCCCCATTTAGTTGGGACAAGGCTTAGCTGAATCCAAAATAATGAAACCAGATGTGAAAAGATGATATCTCAATCTCAACTGGTGGAGTGGGTCTGACCAAACACCAGATCGATGGAGTCTTTGTCCATTTCTCTTTTTGAAGATTTGTTTGAAAGAAACACTTCCAAAGCAGGGAAGTGATTGGGAGCAAAGATTCTCTCCCCACAGCACATCCCAATCGTGCATTGGGAACATCTTCCATACTTGTCATGGGGGAGATATTCCCAATGCACGGTTGGAATTTTCTGTGGGGCGTGTGGTGTGTATGCTGTGGGGAGCCAATGTGGATTCACTCGTTGGGTTTGGGCCTAGAGGACTCATAAATGTGGCTTTGTATGTCTCCATGTGAGAACCCACACAAGCAGCGACTGGTTGGATTTCTTCCAAGTAAAGACAATTAAATTCTAAGTTTTGATTGAAAAAAGAAAAGGACAAAAAAAAAAAAAAAGGGAAAGACTTCAAGGTCCTCTTTCAGCACATAGCCAGGGCTTCTGGGCCAAAACATGTTACGTGTAAGATCCATGGGCTTAAGATAATGATTTGAGTGGCCCAACGCAGATCCAAACCAACTCGACATGCTCAATACAAC